TCGGATGCACAATTTTCATCGATCTAGTAACTACCATGCCTTTTATTTTATGGGATCAAGCCAACATTAGAAAAACCAGAACAGTAGAGACCAACAGCGAGATGAGACAATGTGAGGTCGAATCAGCGGTTAGGTTTGGTGAACTAAGAGGTGGAAGAGGGCAAACAAGTCCATCTTTTGTTTCTTTGCACTCGTTGGCAAAAAGACCAAGAGGATAGTTTCCGTAAATGTTCATGTAGCTGAACATTATCTTTGCACAGTCATTGTTCAAGTTGTTGATATGATTCACGTAAGGACATGCAAATTCTTTAAAAGCTGCGCAACATTCTCTCGCTGGAAAGGCCGGACCTTTGCACCGCCTTGTCAACACCTTGTAGTCCATATACTCAAAGTTCACTTCACATTCTGCTCCCAACCAAAACAAGAAGGAACAAGAACAAAGAGTGTAGTGTCACACCACTTATATACAATCTTAATATACCGATCCGACAAGATTTGGAACCTAACCAAATAACCAAAACCGAATTGTATGATGATTAAAATTGGTTCATTTCTTCTATATCCAACAAATCAAATCCAATACGAACCAAAATAAAGAAAGAAACCGTATTTCTTTTAATAAAGATACAAACTAATCCAAAGTGTCATTTTAGAGACTAATACTTTTAAACCGGAAATAAACCGAAAACATAATCGAAAATTTAGCTTTAACACCTCTCTAGCTTATCGACAAGACCAAATGTCATGTAAGAGTACAATTTTCCCTACGTTCCATCATAACCCTCACCAAGCCAAGATATACAAAACCAAAAACATGGACTTAACTAGGTAAAACTAGAATTTAAAGTTATCCTTAAAAAAAAATATTGATTTACGTTAAATTTTTTTAAGTTTGGTTTCTTGAAGATTCGATTAAAACTTTGGTTTATGAATTGGTTTTTATACATATATCATCATTAGTCACTATTCACACATTGGCACACATAAAATGATAAGCCTAAGTAAATTACCAAATCTAGCCAACAAAATAGAAGGATCAAAATGCTTTCGTACACACTTACTTTTCTTGGCAAAAAGAAGGTTCCTTCCACTAACCGAGGTCTGAGATTCGAACACACGATCTGCAGAAAACAACCCAATAAATAGATTATCACTGTCTATAGACTCTATTAGCTTAGAATCAATAATAATTTCAGCTCAAAATTGTTGTTACACAATCTTGAAACTTTTAAAGAACAAATATACTTATGAAAATGAGTTACGACAAAACCATTCTTGTGAGAGAAAGAAAAGAGTGAACAAAGTAAATATTAATGTCTTCCAAAATTAAACGGTAGTTATTATGAAAACGTCAAGATCAACTTTTAACA